ATGCAAAATTATAAAGTAAATTTACCAAAAATAAAGTAAAATATGTAATTTTAAACATTAGATAAATTCATACGAGCAAAGTATTAACTATCGATTAAATATTTATTTCAGTATACACGGATAAACATCTTTCGACTACTTTCTTTGCTAGCCGTTTTACTAACCGGTAAATGCAATATTCTTGTATAAAATCTTGAAATAACTATAAAAAGGTTTATTAGCGTATGTCGCGCATTGGGATTTCAACTCATATTACTAAACCGGATTTTGCCCAAGTTTGCAAGGAAAGTCGACCGTCCGGGCATTGTGCTGCCACGGCTCAATAGAGAAAGAAAATGCGCTAAAAGTTAAATATTAATTAATAAATATTACCGGATTGGCCATAAGCGAACTGTCATTTATATCATATAGCTTTCTAATTTGTGATTATCCGCCAGAATTAGGTAACTATTATTTTATTTAAAAAATAAATAAATGTAATAATAATAATAATGAATATCCCCCCATAATAATGAAAATGACATGGGTACATGTTATTTCATCAAAGCTCATTATTGAATATAATAAATATATTAATTAATTTATTAAAAAACAGAAGACACGTTATATATAACCAAAGTGAAATGTATAGCTTTGCAGTAAACGTGCTATAAGCTTAATTGTTTGGATTATCTCTGGCATCTTCCTGATAGAACAACGATTGCATTAATCTTAAGCCACCGAATTATTTTAGTAATGTCATCAATATGAAATGTAAAGATTAGATTTTGTAATTAAAAACAGTAAGTTAAGTAAAAACAGTATTTTTATGGCGAAAAACCCATTGAATGTTTACTAATCATAGACTCATAGAATTATTATTTATATTCTATTATAGCTTTATTGATTACAAAATCCGAAGAACATAGTAGAGCTAAGTATGTTACAAGCGGTATTGTCCAAACCTTCAAGCAGTCAAGCCTGTTATGTAAACCAGAGCTCTGTCTTTTGGCATACATGGTTTTTAGTTTCAACATGCTTCTAGGCGAGAGAAAAACTACAGAGCTTTGTCTGTCAACGTTCTATAGGTGCTGAGGCGATACGTTCATATTATAATCGGATCTGTCACACCATAATCGGGTCGGATGTAAAGTACTACCTGAATGAAACTAATGAATCAATACTGGAAAATTGAGCCACTAGCTCTTTATTTTGTAACTCTGACATAAATTGTGACTGATTGACTTCTGACATAAACGCGGATAATCGTAATCGATTTAAATATGATATCGTTTAGAGATAACTACTAAGAGGAACCTGATAAAATATCATCTTCAGCAGGACTATCGATGCCGACGTTGGAACCCGAAAAAGATAAGCGACAGACACTCCCATGTCTGCCGCTCAAGGTCTCACTATCAGGGGAAGGGTTGAGCGCGTAAGCTAACTTCCTGCGCCCTGGTCTCCGGGTCATAACGTCCTCGCAGTATGCGAGGACAGCACCCCACGCCCACTCGTCGTCAACCATAGCACGAATCTCAGCCGGAAGCGAGAGGTCATGCCCCACAAAGCCCACTTCAGCCCTACGATGCAAATAAATAGCGAGCACATTTCTCAGGAAGTTTAATTAAAATATATAAATATAATTTTTAAGTACAATTTTACGATTCATAACGCGCAAGCGTAAATAAAAATGATTGATTGATTGAAAAGAGATAACAGTTGCCGAGGTCCGGCTCTCTTGGGCATCCTCGAACTGGATTGCTAAACGGAACACTGTGTAACAGCCCAAGACGAGGTCCCCTCTCGGAGCCTAGTTACTGCAAGGAGCGTCCGTCAGAGCCATCTAAGAGCTGTGCGACCTTCCGAATCGGTGATAATAATAATACATTGATGGATCGGGCCGAGGCTCCTTTGGCGGCCTCAGTCATGCTTAAACGAGGTTGAGACTAGGCGCCAAAAGAGTAAATGGGGCCGAGTAGGAAGGCGCGCTGAATGTTCAGCGCGCCTTCCTACCTAGGTGCGAGTCCGACATTACCCGCTCTTGCGGGTATGCGTATGCATTTCCCTAACGTAAAAAAAAAATAGGCGCCAAAAGAGTAGTTAGTTAACTGAATTATTCCGTTTTCCATAAGAATACAAAGCTTTAGACTCTATTCAATCATTAAGCGCCTATGCTTTATATTTCATAATCTTTATCACGGTTTTTTCATGTGTTAGCTAGTGCTTGACTACCATTCTACCCTATTCATCTCTTACCTTAAAGACAACTCTGACACTCATTGTCAAATGGAGATATGGAAGAAGGCAGGATCCTTTCTGCGTACTAGAAAGGATGATTAAGCAAATCTCTTAGTTCAAATGCGAAGAGTGTCGACCATAAAACGATGAGCCAGCAGAACGTCTAGTCGTCTGATCTTGAGAGGGATTAATTTATTTTATTTTTATTTTTTATTTAAAAAACATTGCCCTCACTTTAGGAAAACATTATACTGTGTTGCAAGGGCGTTTTACATACATAAATTTCACGTGGACAAACACCCAGATGCGAAACAATTATCTGTGGGTCACACAAAATAGTTGTCCCGTGTGGGAATCGAACCCACGACCCCCGACGCCGAAGCCAATACCTTGACGACTGCGCCACGGAGTCACCAAATTAAAACTGGTAATTTTAGCAAATGTTGCATTAAACTTTCCTTAAATGTTTCTTATGGATATATTAGAAGATACTTATATCTTACTACGCTCTACTTACGCTCTACTTATATACTTATACAGCGTGTCGTTACAACCGCGTCAATAAATGAACACACATATAGAGGATAACTTTTTAAAATTGTATTAAACATTTAAATTCTTTAAACATAAATATTTACCGAGTTATAAAAATTTCTAAAACTAACATTTTTAGAACATCCTTACGTATAAAAAGGAAACTTAAAGTTCATTTTTAAAGGTCACAAAGCATATGATTGGCTTAAATGAATTTGAAAGAGATAAAACATACTGTTAGAAGGAGAGATTTGTAGTGCGACGCTGCGGTAACGAATGAAAAAGTGTCTGAATCTATGAATTAGTCAGTTGTAGTTGTATAGGATGTTACAAATTTTGTTTCTTTTTTTATTTAATTAGTTTGTTTGAAAAATATATTTTTTTAATTGTGGATTTTTTAACATTTTATATTTTTTTATGATTATTGGCAATTAACATTAAAAGTGTGAACATAATTGATTGTCGCGGTTGTAACTACACGCTGTATATAAGTAGAGCTAACCTAACATAGCCTAACTATTTTCTTCTCCCAGCTTCTGTTATATATTTCTGACGATGACACCTCAGAATTTACACTTAAACATGCCTGCTAGTAAACGACTATTTGGGGGTAGGGATAACATTTTCAAAAGAATACATTGCGAGTCGTATAAATTTTTCTGACCGATTTACTCTATTGTTGTATTTCAATTCAATAGGACTCTTCGTCCCGTCTCCTTGTGCGTGGGAATATGTGAGGTGTTGTTAGCGAAAATGTTTGACAGTTGGTAGTGACAGCTGTGGAATCTTCGCAATTTCTAACTATGAATCTGATAAAAAAACGATAAAAACCAGGAGTACTCAATAATTTGAAAAACGTTTTCTATTTTACATTTCTTGATCGGATCAAAACAGAGACAAAATAAAAAAATAAATGTCAGGCTTAGCAGGTTGGGAAAGAAGACTATAAAATAAAAGAAAAAAATTACCTGTATTGACTGACCAGCAGGCTGTTGAGTACTTTACTTTTACTTTCATAAAATAGATAATGTCACTCACCGCTATTACCGGATGTTGGTAACGGATTAAACAAATTAATAACCACTACGAAAAGCATTCAAATTTATGGTTTGATGATCAATCAGCTAATTTTAATGTAACACATGTTCATATTTCAGATGCTAGTCACGATTCGACAACACATTAAGAAAATATAAAAAAAACGAAACAAAACATGATAATAAGTCTTCGATGTAGTTTTATATAAACGTGTGATATTCACGTGAATGTAAAACCTAGGTTGTCATTGGGCAGCCCTGTAGTCCCGGGCTGATAGATTAAGGTATTGCCAATTTAAAGGGGACTTTAGGGTCACGGACTAGTAGCAGTGCGAAGCTCTTTCGTGCTTTTGCAAGATGGTGAGAGGATCGGAGAAGGTTCAGCCTTACGACGACATAACCCTGTCATGTGTGGGATGTCAGAGTAATTGAAGATTTCCTCTCTGAAAACAAAAAAAATTGGGACTGTCGACAGAAGTGAAAACTTAAAACTGAAATAACAGGTTTTTAATTTTTAAATAAATAATTAAAATTAGATAGTAGTACTGAGAATAATTTAAATAACAAAACACTAATTTATTTATCGCTGTTGTCCGGGGAAGTACCACGACTTCACCGAAGATCGGATTGAGTGGGTTACCGGAGGCCACTTTATTAAAAGGTGGCAACCCAACTGTAATCCTACGGGGTTGTATTATTTATTTATTTATTTAAAAAATGTCCACTTCACGTCAAGAGAACCGCCAGTTCGCTTGTTATATATAAATAAAAAAAAATCGATTTCTAAAGGCCTAGTTTATTTCTGACATTTTAAACCAATAAGCAATAATTTTGAATAAATAAAATGTTTGTAAAAATATTAATTTATATAAAAATTAAAGTTTGTTATTGAATTATTTATGAATTTAAAATGCGCGACAAAAATACTGTTGAACAACTAGAACTATATACGATATAGAAAACGCACGATAACGCACGTGTCATTAGCATCACGGTGACTTTTTCTATGCCTATATACGTGTCAGTGTAGTTTGATGTTTGCTCGTCGGCTTTGACAGCTTCAGCGCAAGGCACGATGGATCCACCCCCTGGTAGTCGTCAAAAAGATCAGTGTGAAGCAAAAGTGTTGATGTACTTATAAAAACTTTTGTTTTTATGGGGAATGAGGCAACAGCACGCTAAGCGACTTTGGCTTTCCTCATACGAGTTATGGAGCGGGCTATGATCGGTATTTCTCTGCGAGATAGAACGAAGGTAATCGACATAGCTCAGAAGGTTAATAAAGCTGAAGTGGCGATGGGTCGGCCATATAGCTCGTAGAACCGATAACCGCTGGGGAAGAAAGGTTCTCGAGTGGCAGAACTGGCCATCCCAGTGGGACGAACCCTCACTAAATGGAGTGTTCCACGACCTGTTCAAGTGTGTAGATGGATGAAGGTGTGGTTCAGGATCGTGCTTTGTGGCAGTATGTGGGGGAGGCCTATGTTCAGCAGTGGACTCAAACAGGCTGAAATGATGATGATGAAGCAACAGAGAGCAGCATTGAAGTTGAAAAAGCGCCTGTAGTTGCTCTATAACATTCCGCCGTCCACGGAGACTTACAACACTAGATTTTTATTAATTTACAACATTTTTCACCAGTGTCATGAATCTCCAAGGGAGTCGGATCTTATTTACTGTCCTTCGAATTTTCATCTGTTATATAATCTGTTTAACTTTTATAACATTAAAATTGTCAATTTTATTAATTAATATAAAGTATTCAACAAAATCCCTTTTTAGGATTATTTATATGAAAGATTTACGTGATTACTTGAAATCCCTGGAAAGAGATATTTTTATTTAACTGTCTTTTTCGTTCGAGATTCTTGACAAATTTTTATTCTTGTCAAAATTCTTTCTTATTTTTGTTGACCATAAACAACTGTGAAACAAACAGTGAAAGCATTTTCCTTAGAATTTTTAGTTATTACCTTATTTCTGATGATTAAAACTATTAGCAAGATTACATCACTGTATTAATTTAATTGTGTTAATTGTACTGAGAGTAAATGTTTACTAAGAGTGGAAATTATTTTTTAATTTCAAAGAAATGAATTAACTTTTTAATAAAATTTGTTTCATTGAAATAATACGCGTTGATATTCATTTCAAAAGTTAAGTAGCAACGTGGTGGATAATCGAACTATAACCGGGGCTTTTATGGCATAAAATAGTTCGAAGCGCCTGTCCTAGTTACCTACGAGTCAAGGTTGTAGCAATCTAATATTGTTAACCACTGTTTTGTATGCATAACGCATCCAAATATTCCAAGTGGCGTTCGCTTCATATATGAATGATAACTAATAATAGGATTCAAACGTATTTTAATATATCTTAAATAACTTAAGTCTACAGGGTTTGTAAATTAAGCTTCAATCGTTATATTTAACCCCTTGATACCTATCCCTGACATTCAAGTAGACTTGAAGGATTTTGGGATACATGTGAGGGTACGGCACCTCATCTAGGTGAGCAAAAGGGACGCTACAACTGTAGGACCTGCGATATTGGTGAGCGGATGCGGGGCGGGGTTGTTAGGGCGATTGCGGGGCGGCGGTTGCGGGGAGCGGGGCCCGGGTGGAAGAGCGCAGGGCGGCGGGTGGCACGTAACAAGTGAAGCGGCCCTGGGAGCAACAGTCTGCCGCAGCCCGGACACGCGGCCCCACACGCCGCCCCAAGCTGCGCGTTTCGGTCCGGACCGCGCTGCCGTGAGTAAAATCTTGCGGGATTAATTGCCCACCTTTCGTTCCGCGATCGAGCCCTGACGCTCGTACCGTAGCAGTCCGTGTTCCTAGACTGGGCGCGCGCCGCCCGCCCAGCTCAACCGCCCTAGTAAGTGTAACTCTTTGATGGATGGCCGCTATCAATACAACGGTGAACCTGTTGAATGCATGAAGACATGAGCTTATATGTCTTTGTCTCTATTATGGGCCATTATGTCCGACTAGACAATTTTTACGTCTTTATTTGATGATTAAGTTATTTGAACAGCTTCATGCAATGCAGCAGTGTTCGCTCGTTTTGAAATTAACAAATACAAAACATTTTTTAATAATTTAGGTCAAAACATTGAACATACACAAAATATTGTTTATAGTAACGCAATCGAAAACTATTATTTATTAATTATTATAATGAGGTATTTTATTTTGGTAAAGTTTTACACTTATTACACTTATACAATATAATATTACAATAAATTAACGTGGTGACTGTCGATACGCTAAATGTAGGAAAAATATAATAAATTTTAAATATGCCACAAAATTTTGTTGATGTATGACTGTATATATATTTTTATTAAAAAAATATTAAATTATGTTATAAAAATGTTATATGTATAGCGCATTTTTATGTTTTGATTACGATGAGTCGTTACTTCATAAGCGTCTATGTTTTATATTTTATAGCAGTCTTTTGTTTTCCATTCTACACTCATCTCTGCAGTAAATAATCGTTTTTGTGTCACCATTTGCAAAGTGGCCACTGAGAAAAATTGTTTCATTCAAATTATTTCTTTCGCTCCGATCAAATCATTAGATTTTTATAAAAATTATTAAAAACATGTTTTTACAACATTAACACTATCTCTTAAACATGATAATATATTTACATTTAGACTACAAATTTATTACTTGAAACAGCGCAGGAAAAACGAAAAGTGTGAACTATGTTTGAATGAAGGTTTTGTGTTTATTTATTAAGTAATTGTGATTTAGTTCTAACTTGTTCTTCTAAATAAGTAAAGTAAATTTAAGCGTATGTTTAATGGCCATATATTCTTTATATAAATCCACTGTGGTTCGTAAATGTTAATATAAAATGATATTTTTACGATGAATTTAAAATCAAAAAAGGAGATTGGTACGTTATCTTTTTATACAATTAAAACTATAAATTAGGGGTTTTGTATAAAAGTGTTTTAAATCATAATGAAAGCAATTAATTAAATGGTTAACAAATTTTGTAACCACGTCTAAGCTTGTTATACCGAGGAAATTTTACCTTTTAAATTTTGCACTGAAAGTATAACATTTTTAGTTGAAAGTGAAATGTGCCGTGATGTAGCACCGAATATATATTTCTTTTATTTGTGTCGACGACTAATCTTGCCCAGCTAGATTTACAGTATTATTACATACCTGAAAAATTTGCACATCTCGGAATAACTGTTCTATCAGCAGTAAAAACTTTTATCTTTAAGAGCATTTCGCGAAAGTTTTTAATCCAAAACTGGAATCTCTGTTGCGCGCGTTATTAGTATGAAATTAATTCGGTAGCCCAGTGTTAGTGATAATTATTTGAAGGTTTTTACAATACATACGGAATTTAATTTTTTTAATTATATAATACTAGTTTACAATCATATTACCTACTTCAAGTTTACTTATGAACATAAGATTTTTGAATGATTTTTACGTGGTTGGGTCACACAACAGCTTCGTCTGTTGCACGAATGGACAGGTCCGTCCTGGTAAGTTCCACGACCTCACAGAAGATTAGACGCAAAGAAGAAGCCACAGAAGGCGTAAAGTAGAAGTTCACTTCTGCGTTTCATTTGGTGAGTGAAGTAGCCGTGGCCCATTTTATTAAGAGGTGGCAACGCATCTGCAACCCTACGGGTGTTACAAATGTCTATGGGCAGGCAGTTATCACTTAACATCAGGTTAAGCGCCAGCTCGTTCGCCACTTTCTCACATAAACAAAAGTCTCCATATTAACATACTCAGACTCAATATTAACATTCCTTGAGAGAGTAAGTTATTTTACGTCACTTTGGGTAATATTTTTAAGATTTTTATAATGTTATTCGAAAACTAAAGAAGGAAAGTAATATAGTTTATGGAATTACGTAATAAATTTATTATAAAGAGAAATTAGCAAATAATTTCTTCACTTTATAAGGGGTTTTTTTACTATTTTTATATTTTAATAAGCCTTAAATTATTATTCATGAAACTTATATGCTTGTTTTAGTAATCTTCAATATATATGTTTTGGTCCGTAAGGATCTCCGAATTTAAATCCATCAAGAAAATCATTAATTTACAACTCTTGCAGAAGACACAATTGAAGTTTGTAAATAAAAAGGTTTTTAATGATTATGTTTATGCGCTATGGTCGTATTAAGTTTATATTCGTGTAAAAGATAAAGATAAATTTGAACTAAATAACTTTTATCTTTATTATCATTTTTTTTGTATCAGCGTTCTTAACAGTGTTTTTATTAAACATGTATTATGGATATTTACAAAAATTTTAATTTACAAAAAAATATAGGTCACATAAATTCTCCTTATAATTTTGCTTTCATTGTCGTTGTGACAGGAGATTAACCTCAACTTCAGTACCTGAAACGCTTGTCAATCACACGTAATGGCAAAGATCTTTAGTTAATCTTTGACTTCTTAAGGTTATATGGGAAATTTAATAATTTTCGATTCTTGAAATAGGTATATTTTAATAACAGCACGTTAAACCATTAGAAGTTTACACATAATTTGTATTTATAATGTTAAAAAAGTTGTTGATATAAATATTTTTTCTAGTTATACAATATTGCTTATATAAGCAATATACAATTTTTTTTACGGTGGTAGGGCAATGCAGCAGCCTCGGCTGTTGAACGAATGGGCAGGCTCGTCCGGACCGGCGTAAATTGGAAGTATATTACTTTCGCGTTTCTTCTGGTGAGTGAGGTGGCTGGAGCCCAGTTTTCAAAATATCATCTGGACCTCTCGGGTGTAGCAGATGTCCATGGGGGGCGGTATTCACTTAACATCAGGTGAGCCGTCTGCTCGCTTGGAAACTTTTCACATAAAAATAAATCTTACTACTTTATGATCCAAACGAAAAATCACAAATTCGCCAATTGCAATGTGACCATTATTTTGTTTAATTTATATTTGTTTGCCATTGCTAGGCAAGTCAGAATTTAAATCTAGCAAAGAAACGCAGTGACAGTACAAAAAATATAAAAATAGCACTATTCTTTTTAAAAGAGTAATTATTATGTCCAAATTTTTTTAAGTTAAGATCTCGCCATTTGTGACGGCTTTTAGCAAGGGCGGGCTGTTTAACAGCAGTTGAACCGCCAAATCGCGTGTCATCTTCTTACATAAATAATATATTTTAATGTAAATTGGAAATGAATGTATTGAGTAAGAATGTATCTTGTAAGCTTTAGCCTACTTTAAAAAGACAACTTATACTTATACAGAGGATTGTCACACTTACTGAATTAATAAGTCATTTATAACATCTAGTTTCACGAATCATTTTTAGATATTTAATGAAAAAAAATCTTTGTGTAAAGTAGTTTTTTTAGCCATCTAGTAAAAAGTTTTCTTTCCTGTTCTGTTTACGTTAATGATTCCTCCCTTTAATAATAAGTTATAACATTTATAGCTATATATTGATACTAAAGCTGTTAAATGGCGTGTTATCTAAGATAATCTGCCTCACGCTAAAATACCATCACATGTTTGCTGACAACATTTACTAGTTGTACCCCAAATTTGTAGCAACTTCCCGTTTCTGCTGTCCTGTTTCGCTGTCCATACATAGCAGTGGATTCTATGCAGTTACTTTTATCTAATTTTAGATATTTCTTAAGTGCTGGTAGCTTTCAGTTGAATGCGTTTCCATTTCATGTGTTGGCAAATTAACATTGTCACTTGTAATACTTTCGCTTAATTTGATGTTAAGACTACTTTCAGTCTTAAAGATTCGTCGAGGCAGAAATCGTGGGGTAGCCAGAACTCAGGTGATCGAGATTCGATCGATACGTACTATTATTTTGTAGTAGGGTGACGCAACAGTGTTCATTGTTGCACGAACGGGCAGGAACGTCCGGGCAAGTACCACGACCTTACAGAAGACCGGCGTAAAACAGGAGCAGGTGTTGCAAATGTAAACCTTTCGAACAGTTTCAATAGCAATTGGCACAAATCAGCCGGTTCCGATGCCGCCCCGGCTCTGACCGAAGTACCCCTTAGATGAGAGGTAGCCAGAATATGTCATACTTAAACAAAGTTAAATGGTATTAAGCGTGTTATCTGACCTTGACCAGCGATTAAGGTAAATCCATCATAATTTGGATGGAATTCGTATACTAAATATGGCTTCATTACTATATAATGATGAGCTATTTTTGTATGTCAATGTATATCTTCCCTCACATATAGTATTTCCTCCCTCAATAATTAGTTAGTTGTTCTTATTAACTTCTACTCGACAACATCAATACTATTAACCAGTTGAGACTTCTTGGATTACAATAATACCTTATAACTGATAAGAAGGTTCTATTCCTGGACATCAAAAGCTATTATTGAATGGCTTTATGAGTAGATATTTCTAACAGAAATGGAACGTTTGAAATGAAAAGTACATACTGATTTCATTCAATTACACAGTGCACCGGAAGGATTCACGAGAGATTACATTTTCAACTCATTTATACCGAAATTGTTCTCCTTATTTATACCTTCAACATTCTGTGTCTTGTTTGCATACTATGCTGTTTATGTGTAATCCAAAAAAATCAAGAGTAATTTACATAGTATTGATTCTTTTTTTATTTCCCGAATCTGTAGACAAAAATAGGTTTGAATTTCTTTTTCTATAAATATACTGTATCTTTATTCTGACAGGTACTGAGGTGGTTGATCACATCTAATTTCGGCCGCAAGAAATTCAGAGTTATATGCGGGCTAACAGAATTTACCGACCTTTTAAGAATCTCTTAACTATCTTCAGTTGCTTTGTTTCTTAATCTTTTGCTGTAATCTTAATGTTTTGTTTCTTTTAAATATCAAACATCATACT